GCTCAGGGAAGCAAATGGCACCAGAGACACTAGACACTCTCCCTGAAGGCACACCTGTTGGAGGAATCACAGTGTGCTGCACAAGAGTATCTGTTGGATTGGCTGAACCTGATGAAGAAATTCCAAGAGTACCAACAGCTAATAAATTATTTTTCAAAATAGTGGATCCGAGTACAGGTCACATATTCCTGGATCCACCATTCATCACAGACTAAGGAATCTCATGGCATGGTAGCCCATTCCTGAAATGGAAACAGAAAAAAACCTTTTTTTTTTTACATTTGACATAATTCATCAAACATTCTGGGCAAAAGCACATATTAATATGATACCAAGTCTAAATTTCCCCCAGAACCTCATTATTTATGAGTCAACATCCATGAAACAGAAACTTTGAACTTCAGGTATGCTATGCAGGTATCTACTAAGACATGCTTTTGCTTACACATTGACACTTTCAACTTATCAAATTATATTTTTTAATGTTCCTTCAGCCTACATTCTTTACTCCAAAGGAAACGATGTGTACAACATAAGGATGCAGGTTGCAAGATTCCAGTTTGGCATCGCTCAAATATGGGGACAGATTTCAGCAAAATGACAAAAATGGCACCAACAATATTCATTTGTCTCATGATAACCAGGGGTTGGACATAAATATGATGAAAGTCATGAGTTGTTGCATGAGTTAGAACATTGCAGTTTGCTTGACTAGGTTTCTTCCATTGCACAGTGGTACAAAATTTGGAAATTCCTGGGCAAAAGTCATATTTTGAAAATGGAGAAAGAAAAAATATTTTGTGCTAAAAGTTACAGAATGAAGTCATTGTCCTGTAATGCTATTTTTTCAGTCCTTCCAATGGTCCTTTATTATCCATTACAAGGTGCAAAGGTCAATGAATTGAACTCTTCTTAAAATACAGGTAATTGATGCCAAAATGTGACAAAAGTTTGTGATGTAATAAGACTGTTCTTGTATCTTCATTGAGTGTGATCTGAAGGTGTACCTAAAGGTGAGTCTTGCTTATTGTACGTATAATTTTACTCCTGATGTATATGCATAACTCATGTCATTCATTAGATTCTGTGTAGTTGATCAGTGAACTACTTTTAAAGACAAAGTAAATTAATCAAGTGAATTTGAAATACTACTCAAGATTTCTCAGAGAATTCCTTTGAGGTCAATGAGTACATATTAAAGAAGAACAAACTCAGTCCCTAATCTCCTGCACTCAGCTATGCCTAAAGTGAGGAATTTTTTTCTTCATATTGTTGGTCTTGCAATTTCTTCAGGAAAGATGTCCAAGGCTAAGGGACCTCTACAACAACATGAGGGACATGATCCAAGCTGACCTTGTTGACGTAAGTGTCATTCCTGTGCTGGTCAGCTCATTCAAGCCTAATGCAAAATAAACCAAGAATTCCATGAATCAGGGCAGCATGAATTGTCGAAGAGCACCAAGCTTTTCAGACTGCAATGCCAATTGGCTGGAATTTGTCTTCCAAAAAATTTTCTTACTTCAGGCACAGCTGGGTGCAGGAGATTGGGGGCTGATTTTGGCTGATTCTCCATTTTCAAAATATGACTTTTGCCCAGGAATTTCCAACTTTTGTACCACTGTGCATTGACTTGTTCTGAACGCTGGGTCCTAGCGAAATTTGGTATTATAAAGTTCAAGTTTCATCCTTCTCTAACCCCTTCCAGTGATCTCAACAGTGCCTGCGATCATAGTGACATGACACTGTATTGCTTCTCTTGAATCTCATGCTTTACTTGAGGGTAACAGTCTTATTTATAAATACGAATGACATTGAACATCTTTCCAGCTCAGTAAGGAGATAACTTTTGCAAATGCTAAGCAGGAGCAACCCAAGGAGGGTAAATTAGTGCCAAACTAGCAAATGCTATTCATGTGCTACTTCTGATCTGNCCAAGCTGCACTGGTGAAGTACCGTTTTGGTGACAAGGTCACTGTGAGATGCCTGAGGACACAAATCCTGTAATATTGTGTGATGCTATCTCAACCATGCTATAGTCGGTATCCTGAATCCTTGTGAAGCAACAGTGCCTGCTGGCAGGAGAACCTCCATATAAGGGACTAACACCTTGCCATCTGAGTTGATAGAAAGAATCAATATTTATGACCCCTCAAGGAGGGAATGGGTAAAAAAGGAGAGGGGGTGGGGTGGTCAAAAAAGGGAAGTACTCGAGTTCAGGAAAGTTTCATTTACCATGTTTATTTCCATTAATTTATCATATCCATGAACTAACACCACTCCTCTGTGTCGGTTCATCATAGAGTATATGATGTGGATGTACAGATGGGACTTGGTGGGGAAGAAGCTAATGGAATGAGAAATGCACCTCATTCCGTGTTTTACGCATTTCTAATCCTTTCATTGCTCATTAGCCCCAATAACGATTGTTTCAGTGATGGAAATAGGCCAGGTATGGCAGTGGTGATGAATATTTACCACTTCAGGACATTTCGGTCAAACCTTCAAATTCCTCTTTAGACTCGTCTTCCCCAAGAGTGTTGATCATCCTGTCAAGTGTCACAGCTGCTAGCTCAGGGGTATCAAACTCAATCAGTCAGTGAGCTGCAATACATACCCTGCAGATGCTTGCAGGTCACACCCATCATTTTTCACTGAAATTTTCTGCAGATCTAAGCAGAAATTTCAAGAACAGATGACAGGCCAGATGAACCACTGCAGCAGACCTGTATCCGGCCCAAAGGCCGTATGTTTGACACCCCTGTACTAGCTCATCCATCCTGAGATATTCTTTTTACCATATTGCTTGACAGAACTGCTCCATATTGCTGAGACCAAGATCCTTGTGGGGTCGCATGAGTCTATTCTTCATTGTTGACCAGACCATTTTTATTATATTACAACAGCAATGGTATGGTGGAAGTTGCAAAACTTGAACACCATGAGGTTCAGTTAGGTCCTCCGAAGTGTACTTCCATAGTATTTCAGCTCAGGTATTCATTTCTCCAGACGACTCTTCTTGAAGATTCCATAATGATTTCTGTGTTGATTGAACTTGCATAAGCAAAAACTCAAGTGGGTGAGGAGTTGATGAAGATATGCAGCCTTGTATGAAAATTCATCATGTTTCCCTGCAGTCAGCACTTCAGAAGTTGGAGTAAATGACTAGTTGTTGGTGCCTCCTTCCCTTCATACATTTCATACATAATCCTCCAAATGAAGTAGCACAGGAACTCATCAGCTTTTCAGAACTGCTCCACCTTTGTTCCATCGTTCTTCGGGATTCTGGGGACACCATGATTGATGATTTTTGACATGGTATTCTGGTGAATTCCCAATATTTTCATTCTGTCCTTCACAGCAGTCTTCCTATACTTCCCTTCACAGTATCAGAAAGCACTCAGCACCAGAACTTGCATAGACTTCATGAAAGCTACTCCCTTGAGCAATGGGGAAAGGGAAAGTCTTCCTCTGATAGCTTGGGAATTTGTCGCTGAAGATGGTTGTGATGGTGGTGATGGAGGTGGAGATGGTGATGAAGGGATGATGAATTAATTCCTTTGGATTCAAAGGTCATCACATGAAGCTGTCTGACCACAGACTGAGTGAAAATAAAATGTCAAGGAAAGGGGGATGTTTGGACAGGGCCATAAAGCAAGACAATTTTTTTTTTTAATTCCCCTTAGTCAACATTATTGCTCTCATTTGTCACCATCAGCAGTGACACTCAGGAACTTCATTACCCTTTGACTCTTTGAGAGTGTACAGCATGCACAAGGATTCAGGATATGGACTACATGTAAATGTTATGAACTTAGTATCATGTCCAAAAATACTAAAAAATGCAAAAAAAAATTACATGAGTCCAATCTCTTCCTTAAAAGTAAATCCCAATGAGAACAAATGATTTTTTGTTTCCTCTTATAAATCTATGAAGAAATTCAACTGCTGGACAAGTGAACCTGGGTTCATGTATGTGTATCTGACCTGATTTTCCTGAGGTCTCTGATGGCTTCTCTGTGTGGCCCTGATATTCCACAGCCAAGTGCAGCCGTAGGTGAAATGGTACCAGGCCACTACCAGGCAAATAAGAACCACTGCCAAGACCATGAGAATGACTGAAATTGGATGAAAATGCAGTAGTGTTATCAAACTAGGAAAGGGTCATTTCACTCTAAATACCTAATGCAGAAAGAGTCACCTAATTGAAACTTCTATTATTTTTCTTACAGCTATTGGTGCTTGCAATAGAAGTCACTTGGCAGGAAGTAAGAAACTCAATCAACCCTTTTCTAATCCAATGTAGAATCTAGTTCAACATAAGCGATTTCCCATTTTCACTCTATTGTCAAACCAGGCTTTATATCAATTTTCTCATTTTCTGGCTTCACTAGTAGCCAGTGCTCTTGTCAGACTAAGGCAAGTAAACTCTTAGTCTGTCTACCCATCAACAGATGGCTTTTCATGCTTGAATTTTCTTTTTGGTGTAGAATATATTATCTTTCAATAGATAATCTGTTTTTTTTTAAAGCAAAGATGGCTGCCTAAAGGTCAAAGTGTATGCCTAAGAAGACAAAATGTGAACAGATAGAAAATGATAAAATGTCTCAAATTTCTTTAAATTTTGTAACTACATTCTTTACTCTAGTATTTAAAGAATTGCCTTGATCTGATGAGAAGTACTGTCATCATTAGCGAAAATGATTTGGCAGGTTCTTTTTTTTTTTTAAAACACCATGCATATATATGCCTGCTTGGAGAAACCACATTAATTCCTAAATCACAGATACAATGTTGCCAGCCTTTCTCAGGAAAGATGATATTTTGACAGGTTTTCTGTGGCAGACAGGTGGAATTGCAAAATCATGTAATACAAGCAGATATTTCTTCAGTCTGCCTTCTTGGAAGTTCGTTGGATAAAAATACCAGTAGTTCTATCTAATCCATCCTTGCCATTATAGCCAAAAGAAATTTCTTACCTCCTGTCAAGAGTGTTCTCAGCTTACCTGCAAAACCATACCTGCAATGAGCACCTTCATTCCCATACTCAGGTGTGAGGTGGTAGGTTTGAGATCATTTTCAGGCAGAATGGTGACAAAAGTGGAATTCCTTTCCTTGGCTGACTTGTGATCACTTTTTTGGGTAACAGACCTGAGATTTTCACAGTCCGTAGGGTCACTAGAGAAGGTCCAGTTTAGGTATTTTACCTCTCTCTCTCTCCCTTCTATAAAACACTGGACATACAGACATATCCATAAATATCCACACATTTCTGCAGCTTTCAATTCATTCATCTAACTTTCTCAACACAGAGCAGGGGAAACCAACATGAACTTCAAAAAGATTGAAGGGCTGCAAATGTCCTCAGAGCAACAAAGCTTTTAAAATCCATACTGACACCCCAACCCCTTCACATATCAACACAGGTAGGTTGAATAATAGGAAGTCCCTATCAATGGTGTTTGATGTAGATGCAGAGCTGTGAAAGCTACGGATCAAAAGCATTGAACTGAATGAGATTTAATTCCTCATAGTCTCAAAGCAGAAATGTGAAAGTCTTGCATTCTAGTTGGTGGTGACATGTAATCTAGTGGGTCAATGTCAAATTGTGGCTGCAACGAGCAAAGCTTGACTTAGCTCAGCATGTAAAAAATAAACAATAATTCAGTTCATTTCTTCAAAACCTCATGTCCAGAAAACAAGTTACATATTGCAATTAGTCTTTTTTGAACACCAGTGTATATAAATTTCAGGAATGTCAGACAAGGTGGGAATCCTCATACATTTTTCAAACCTGTGCTCCTCTTTCTGCTTTTGGGCTCATCTAATTTCAGTTTTTAAAAGAGGATAAATGACAATATCATGGCACAAGTGATGCCACCCATGTGACATTAGGAGTGAAAGGAGTGAATGAAAATAATCCAGTTCTCCTTAGTTTGTGCCAAGAGTTGCACTTAACCAGGTGGTTCCTGATTGGGAATTCCCAACCTACAAGCTAGTTTCATCTAATGAGCTATGGGAGACTACCTAGGTGGTGAAAACTGGGAAAATTGTTTCAGGGCTACTGTAGACAAATTTTTCCTTTGTCCCACCAACTCTAAAATTGACAATGGGGTTTTGCAGAGATAGTGCAACACAAATATGCACATAGGCTATTCTGATGGATGATGCCATAAAAAAAAAACACAGGGGGGGGGGGGGGGGGGGGTGTCCCTCAGAGGGTGTGGAAAAGAGAGGTGCACAGAGCTGCTTCATTTGTAACCAAAACAATATTAGAGGCATGGAAAATTTTTGAAAAGAAATGGAACAGAACTACTGCAATGCTGATAAGAAACACTGCAGAATGTGCCTGATCATGTTCAAGCCATAAAGTTGGGTTGAACACTGCTTTGGAATGGCTAAAAACAAAATGCATGCATATCACACAAACTGATGATGTAAAAAACTGATATTTTGCAGAGATGTAGAAGCATAGCTGTTAGAGCACTTAGTTCAACAGTGCTCCTAGAAAGATGATGGAGTCATGCCACAATATAAAATACTTTTTGAGTGTACTCATTAATCTAGCTTTTTAAAAAAATAAAGAAAAAAGTCTCACCAATATGGTATGTTTCTTTTTGGAGGTGTCCTGTTGAGGAGAAGTGTCACCATCACATCTAAATACCTTGTCTGTTCCCTGAATGGGAACTGTCTCTCCTGGATTGCCCAAAATGTAGCTAAACTCCTGATTTGGATAAATTCTTGGCATCTGCATGGGAATTCAGAAGTCTAGTTCCATGACATCATAAGACATATGGCAAGCTAATGATCCCTTGACAACCACATAGAAAATCTAACATAGGCATAGACCATGTTCACCTTTGTTCTGAGAGCTATTAGTACTGTCAACCTGAGCAAGCTACACCATTGAGGATACAAAAGAAGCCTGCTGCTGGGCACAGATGTCTTCCTAATGGAGAGGAACTAGAGATTGCACAGTGACACATAACTCCAGATTAGAACTTGTCATTCCAGCTCCAAAACTCCTGCTGCCACATCTTTCCCAGACATAAGCTTCAAGATGTCAATACCAAGTCCACCAGTATTCCAGTGCAATGCACCAAGTTCAATCATTTCATCAAATCCACATGCACCTTGTTGTTGCCTATTTATCTCTGTGATTCTGAAGAGATAAATAATGCATACAACTCTCTTGGGACAGTATGTACATTCAAGGACCACTTTCTTTTTAATCATATTTAATGCTATTTCATATATAACAAATAGAAATAAAATGAAAAATACCAACCCATTGATTCTCATGTGATATTAGTAAACCAACCTGTGTAGACCAGGACAAGCCATTGGCTTTGGGAATGCCCTAAAATCAAAGCTGCATGATTCCCCTTTATCAATTCATTTCTTCTTTCATTCTCTTTCCTCTATTTTTTTACCCACTGTTTAAATATTTTGTTTGTTCTTACACTGCTTGTATTGCATGTGCTCACAAGAAAAACTAAGCTGCTCTCTCTCTCTCTCAAAAACACTTCTGGAACAATCTAATTGAAGTGTTGCCTAGAGCAATGATCTAACATTTTTCAAGATGAAATCTTTTGTAATATGCAACATCTCAAAACATGTCCATTAAAAATATCAAAATTTCCATCAGAAAGTCCATTGCAAGAACCTTTAAAGCACAATTTAAAAAATTACTCCAATATTCAAATATTTTTATTATTCTTCCCCTTGGATGTAGACTGAAATTTGAATTAACACTGTGAAACCAGAAATGCATCTGAACCATTGGAGCACTGCACGTGTCTCTTACTCTTTCCATCAGTGTACTTGTTCAGCCAAATGTTTTTCCAGAAGCACAAAATTCAAGAACATACAACTCCATTGCTTATTAGCTATAACAGCTATATATAAATTTGCCTGATTTAAGGCCATCGATGTCACAAGGCCACAAGACCATAGGATTAGCCTTACACCCACCATATTATGCTTACATAACCTTACTGCAAAGGTGAAGTTGGCTTGAAGAGGATCTCCACAGGTATCACTATATCCCTTCAAATTCACTTCGTCATCCATTACACAGTCCACCTCTTCATTGTTCGGCCCATGATGCATGCAAGTCAAGGGGGTCCCTGCAACGAAAATTTCCATCAGTAAAGTGAAACATTACGTTGCGTCTTGAATGTAAAAGAACAGAAAAAGCAAAGGAGTAGATCTGCAGTACATTGGCCTACAAACTTCAAAAAACTGAATTCCTTACCTCGTGACCAAACATGCCTGAGCATGACATCAAATAATATATTAGGGCAGTAAAGAAGGCGGTCTTAGATCGATGCGCCGATAACCGGCACCGATTTTAGAAAATACTTATGGGAGGAATATCCAATAAATTATTCTTTGACGTTCTTGTTATCGGCTTTCTTCACGACTGCACATGAGACCCTGAATCTCCTCATTTAGTGCGCGTGAAAGAGGGCACTCAGAATGAAACACAGGTGAGTCTGACGGAAGTAAACGCAAGTGTTGCCAGATGCTTCATTTAACTCCGTCGCTGCAACTAGAACATTCGGCCTTTTAAATAATAAAATGAAAAACATTGTAATAAACAAATTTTTTAGAACAATGTTTTCCACTTGACATGGTCACTAGTACACTGGGCGTTCTTCACGAATGAATGTCGAAGAGAAAACGTGTTAAATCGAGGAACCCTTAGTTTTCCACCGTCCTTCAGTCTTCTCGCCTTCAGTTTTTCGTTAGTGAGGCCGATGTGAGACTCATCATCTCAAAAAGAAGGTCGCTGTGACCGGTCTTGTGTTTATTGCATGACGCGAACGA